TACAGTAATTTGTTGGATCTGTAGATGAAAATACATCTTCTTGTTCTGGATTTTGTGGCCTTGTATATCCGTGGAGTGCAGCTTGTGAGCCTTATTGTCCTCAATATTGGTTCACTGAATCAATGCTTTGTGAACAAAGTCGATGAGCTAAATGAAAGTGTACCAATGGATGTGGACATGGTTGTAGTGATCAAGGCTCAGGATGACATAGAGATTGACAATGATCCTGTGGAGGCCGACAATGATCTGTGGGATATTATGGAGATTCACAATGATCCCATGGAGGTCGACTAGGATCTACATGGAGAATGATTAATTATGCAACCAATAATGTACATATGAAGGCCTTTTAACTTTTGCATAGTGGCAGCCTAATTAGTATCTACATTTTAGCTTTCGACAAGCTTGTTAGCTTGGTAGTGTCCACCTACTTATTCGGTATGAATGTATGGAACTCAAGTTGGATTCCTTTCAATCCGAGAGTACTGGCATTGTGCTTTCCTTGTGTTTTCTAAGTGCGTGTTTTGGCCTTCGCCTCAATATAAATTTGTGTGCCTTATTATTCACCATCAAACTCAAGTTGGCTTCCTTTCAATCTGAGTACTATAATTGTGCTTTTCTTAGTTTTCTAAGTGCGGGATTGTGTGCCTTAGTGTTCATCACCGTATTATACGGAGGTCTCTGGGTGGTAATAGGATCTAGCCACTGGTGATGGTACTGTGCATTCACAGCTGCTTAGTTGCAAAATTTCCAATCCCGCGTTTGAACCCTCCCGCACGGAACTGATGAAAGTTCGATTCCCGTGTGTCGTAAAAGTTATGCAAAGAGCAAGCAACCTACTCCAACATCCCCCCTAACCCCTCGGCACCTCCCCCCCACCCCGCCGCCGCCCTCCCTCCCCCATAAACACAAAGCTTTTCTTTTCCTCATTGCTGTTGTTCGTCATCGCCGCTATTGCTCATCAGCACTGCTCAGCCCTTGCTCCATGCTAGTGCACATCATCGGATTGCCCGCACAGATCCACCAGCGAATGACTTGCTGCTGTCATCGGCATTGCCACTCGTGCTCACCACCGCCAGATCCAAAGGCAAGTGTAATAAGGCCTTACTTGCATCGCCGTCCTTTCTCCTTGAAACTCATCTCCTTACTAATGTTTATTTATGCAATTCCATGGTAGGGAAGCCTCATCTCTTCGGCTGGTGGTGTCTTTCTAGATGAAGGAGGCCTACAACATGAGGAACGCAGTGGACAACCTCTCAGACGATGTGCTTGCTAACATCTTTAGCTACCTCCCTGCCTAGTCCTCGTGCTGCTGCAAGTGTGTCTATCGCTCCTGGAGGCATGTCATCTCTGACTCCTATCAACGTAAGAAGCTTTCACAGACTGTCGTCGGCTTCTTCTATGGCAGCTGGTGGAAGGGCAATCACCACTTCACCAGCATCACCGGTGAACGGCCCTCTTTGTCCTTGTTGCCCTTCCCCCTTAAAAATCCTAGTCTCAGATTGTTGCAGCGTCCTCATCCTTTGCTGGTGTGCTGGGCCTAATGGATTACGTCGTTATGTTGTCTGTAATCCGATGACCCACAAATGGCATGTACTGCCACGTAGCATCTGTTCTGTTGGTCAGGCTCACTTAGGTTTTGACCCAACGTCCTCGTACTTCCATGTGATTGAATTTATTGAGGTGGAGGGTGTGTGCATAGGTGTGTAGATCTACTCATCTAAAACTGTAGCATGGATCTTTAAGGAATCTGAATGGGGCGAGGGTAGTATTGTTCTACGTTCAAAATCGAGAAGTGTTTTTCTTAATGGTTTCATGCACATGCTTGAGTACTCCGTGATAGTTGTTGTGGATATGGAGGGAAAGACATGGAGGACAATTCGTAAACCAGGTGGTGCTGAAATGTCCATCCATCAAGCTCAGGGTCACCTATGTGTGTGCTATGCTGATTTTCATAATAGGTCTTGCCTTTTAGTGTGGATACTTGAAGACTATGATACTGATAACTGGAGTTTGAAGCATGTTGTGGACACGGAGGAACTATTTGGACGCATGAATATTAAAGTTGGTTCTGAGCTTTGTGATGAGAAGTACAGAGTAATTACAGTTCACCCAGAATGAAATTTCATTTTTCTTGTTGGAAATGATGGAACATTGATTGCATATGACATGGACCGCAGAAAGGTTCATGTCATCCATGCCCGTGTCATCCGCTTTTGTAGACCAAGAGGGTGTTTTTATATAAACAGACCTTACTATCTTCCTTATGCTGCCTTGTTCATGGAGTCATTAGCAGAGCAGTAAAGCTGCATTTCCTACATTTCGTCGTCATGATAGTCTTTGTTCAAGTAGGCAGTTATTTTCATTCTATGTATGTATAGGTCAATTTTGGCTTGTTAACTATAGGAATGGTATGTTTAATATTATTAATTCTGCTGCTTTGTTCAGGTTGTGGATCAGAGATGAATAAGAGGGGTTCCATGGTGCATTGGCTACCAATCCAAAGGATGCACTAATTATATTCATTTTGCCTTGCAAGCAGGAGTGCCACATAGAAGGAGCACAACTACGTCGTTTCGTAATATAAGTCTGTATACATCAGTACCTTTAGTATGTTCTATGTACTGCTTGTGTTAGGACATAAGTTGAGAAAGATGTTATGGTAGCGTCCATTGTTATTGTAAAAAGTACTCTTGTTTGTGAACATGATTTATGGATGTAACGATTATATATTTGTATGCTTTGTGTTCATGAAGCTATTAAGGGCCCAACTAAATTAGTAACCATTGTGAAACCGGATGAAATTATGTCACTGTCGCTATACGTATGATGCGGCAGGGATTAAAAGTATATCACCACTGAATCCTTTAGTAACCCGACACTAACTAAACGATCATCAAAGGCGGATCGTGGTGCAAGGCGACGGTGACCATGACCTTTGTACTGGCGGATCATACGCTGAAGCGACGATGGTGTTAACCTCTACACGTCTCGGCCGTCGAACCGATAATGAACCCGTACCGCTGACAGTCGGGTCGAAGTATAAGGCGATGGTGCTGGTGACCACTACATAGGCGGTTGATGTGCGGACACGATGGTTTTGATAGCCTCGACACAATCGAATTATTTGCCAATGCGGCGGTGTTAGTGTACATCCACAGTCGGGTCGTGCTCCAATGCAACTAAAGTAAGGACCTAATCACAGGCGGATCATAAGCCAATCGGCGGTGTTAGTGTACACCGCAGTCGGTCCTAGATGCCGACGGTGAAGGCTATGACCATCATTGTCGACAGCTTACTGCCGAGGCCGAAATTGGACTGCGATATGGGTTACGACATGGCTATGAAAGGTGCGAGTGTAGTAATGAGTGTTTTAGGTGTTTTAGAGGTATGTTACAAGTGTTTTAGATGGATGTTGCAAAAGTATAACGGGATGTTGCATATGTTGCAATAGTTGTACACGTATGTTGCAAGCTTTTGTTTTCAATGTTTCATCTTTTTTTCCGATGTATATTGCCAGTGCGTTTATGTGGATGTTGTATATGTTTTCACACATATGTTGCAAGTGTTTTATCTGGATGTTGCGTATGTTTGCAATGGTTTCAAGTATTTTTGCAAGTGTTTCAGATAAATGTTTCAAATGTTTCATTGTCTTGTTTCAAAACTAGATCGGGTGTTGTATCTTCCTCCTCGCCCTTCTGCTACCTCGCCTCAGTGCTGCCTCGCCTCGGTGTCAGGCACGGGAAGCGAGGACAGTCGAAGGTGGTCCCCGCTGGCGCGGGCAGTCCCCATGTGCATGCGCGAGTGCGCGACAGCATGTGAAGCAGCCGTAGGCGGGCATGCAGCTGCATCAGCAAGTGGACACGCAGCAGCAGTAGGCGTGTCAGGCATAGCAGGCGTGGCTGGGCACAGCAGGTGAGGCGTGGGTGCAGCAGGCGAGGCAGACACAGCGGCACGGGCGTCCAGACATAGGGCTAGCGTCTAGACGTCCGGGCGCTAGCCACTCTGGCCTTTCGTTGCTTCGGATTGCTCTATTTCAAGTCGTCATCGTTGAGCTTGATTTCTTCTTCTATGATCCTGATCTACAGTAGTTTTCCACGATCTTTGAAAGCTAAGCCGTCCATTCTGGTGGTTTCCTTGTAAAGCGTGAGGCACATACATGGGCCTGATGGAACACCATTGTTTAATTATGATGTCTTTGATTAGATGCCACACGTCCTATTCAAACTGTAATCTGAGTAAATTGTTGTATTTTGTAATGGCTTCTAGATCTGCAGGCTGAAAACTGAACCAATCATTCTTGTTGAATGTATGAATTAATTTACATTTCATACTTGTAACAAAATAAAGAATACAGTAAAAACCCACATCGAATAAAAGTCGTGCGCGACTTGTTTCCCCCGTTCTTTCCTTTTGGCCAGTTTAATTTGTGCCATTGCATCCCGTAGTGGTAAACATGCTACATCTTTTATTGTGTGAACCAGTGGTCACTCACTCACCAGTGGTCTGAGATAAATGGAATTAATTGTGCCAGCCTAGTAAACTGGACTATACAAAGAGCTGCTATACAACTGTACTAGCAATAGGTAGGACTCTAGGAGTACTATATTTCACATACGTAGGCAGTCTAATTCTAATTCTAAACGCCATTGATTTCACTGATGAGGGAGCGCTGGGGAACAATGAACCTATCATGCCCGCTCTCAACAACACATGTATTGATTGTAAATGCCCGGCTCCATTTGGATAGTAGTAGTACTCTAGTAATCAAGTTGGCGTGGAGATGTGTATCACAGTTGTGCTGGTAACAGCCAACCGTTCAGTGCACTTATTTTTGGTTGAGTTACTTCGTTTCTGTCCTGTCCATTAGCTCCGTTATAGCCATGGAGGCTTGTACAGCTTGCAACCATGCTTTGCTGAATCTATAAAATGCAGGCCACTGCTCTTCCATATTCTCACCCCAGAGGTCGCAGTTGAGCACTACAGCGAGATTTGTAGAAATGGCAATCAACAAGTCTGCAGTTCTGCTTGGTGTGGTTTTGGCCTCTCTCCTGCTCGGCTTCCAGGACGTTGTGTATGCCAGGGAGCTCACTGAAGCCAATGGTTGCTAATCCGTCTCTCTCCCTAATTTTTCTATTTGTGTGTGTATTGTGTTACGTTACTGCATGAATTACGTAGAACCATTTTAATGAAGAAATTACATGGGGAACTGACATATCTTTGTGTGCTTCATGTTTCTTCATTCATGCAGACTCTGGAGTGAAGAACGTGGAGCCTGCAGGAGAGCCTGGACTCAAGGATGAGAAGTGGTTTGGTGGATACAAGCATGGTGGTGGAGGGTATGGAAACAGTCAGCCTGGATATGGCGGAGGAAACAACCAGCCTGGGTATGGTGGAGGATACATGCCTGGACATGGTGGAGGATTCAAGCACCATGACCATGGTGGTGGCTATGGGTCTGGATATGGAGGCCCTGGATGTGGATGTGGAGGTGGGTATGGCAGTGGCCCGGCCCCGGGATACGGAGGTGGCAATGGTAATCCTGGATATGGAGGTGGCAATGGTGTTGGTGGCACTGGCGGAGGAAATGGCAATGGTGGTGGGTACGGCGGAGGTGGGGGTTATGGAGGTGGATACGGTAGTGGCACTGGTACTGGTACAGCACAAGGAGGCGGATATCATGGTGGTGCTGGACACTATGGTGGGCGGAACTAAGAAGAACAACTCCTTATGCTAGTTTATGTTGAATAAATCATCCAAGTTCTTGTGACTGAACAATTAATGTAAGCAGTGAGGGATCTTGTCTCGTGTTATTTGTGTCATAATTTGTATTAGCTGCTTTAAGAAGAATGTACATCGCTATTTGTATTTCGGACTTATTGCATGGAAGGCATCTACCACTTGGGGTCTGCTGATCATTATCTGTGGAATTCAGGGATTGGGTCTCGGTATGGTTTTATCCAGGTCACCAGATTTGGGCTGATCTTAAGTAAAACAAAATTAAAGATCTATCTGGGAGATTGTTTGAAGTAAAAGCGTAACATTTTGCAGCAGAACATCGGACTGGAAATATATCCAATGTGGAAATTGTTGTATACTGGCTAGCTTCAGTGACATTTTGCCTATATATCATAGTTCTAAATCTAGCTGCCGTTATAGCCCGCTATAGCCTTTTGAGGCAGGGTGCCGCTATTTGAGTTCATGTACAATTTAGCCGCTATATACCGCTATAGCCCGATATAGCTCCACTATTAGCTGTTTTAGAGATATACCGCTAAACATCTTAGCCCGCTATTTAAAACATGTATATATATATAACGAAACCAGCAGGGAAACAATATTTCCAGTCATTTCGCAATGAAACCGTCAAATACATATAAAGCTTAGCTTCAGTGTCACAGCTGGCACGGAAGTTCAAATTCATCAGCATTCAGAACACATCGAAGATTTGATGTAAAATGGAGTATATCAGAATTCAGAACACATCACTGTCGTCACATATCGTAAATATAACACATCGAAGATTTGATGTCAAATGCAGCAATAATATTGTCAGTGTCCCAAATATGCATATGGCTATGGAGAAGAGAAAAAAAACTATTCTTCTTGTTCAACAAATTTCCCATCAACTGCTTGAGCCATACCATTCCTGGACTGCCTGTAAATTCAAGACCACCATTTCAATCTAAGATAGATTAAAAGAAGGCAACAAAACAATGTCTAGTATTTTTGCTATGCTGGGCAATAAGGCATGACTAGTTTAGGAATGGCCTAACATCTTATTTCTAGTTCTGAAATCTCTACATTTTTTTTTAAAACGAAGAAATATATCTATATCTATAACCTCTAAACTGTAGGACAACATATAAATCAGCATTCTAGGCCATCAAACAGATATTGTGTAGTTAGGAAACTATCTAGTACCTAAATGTTCACAATTTCGCGTAGGAAAACATATTAAATTACATGTATCAACATTGAAATGTTCTGTTAGCACACACTATGATCACAAGGCATTCCAGATGGCAGTTTCTACTTTCTATATTTGCTGAGGTTAAAAAATATATCGTTGAAGTGCTTGAGCCAAAAAATAATTGTAGCTCACAAACTGCATTGTAAATTAATTCTATATTATTTAACATTACTTTTTCTTCAGCATTAGAACAGTACCAGAATACCCCTAAAAAAGAACAGTACCAGAATACAAGCTGCATTACTACCAAGATTGATCTGGAGAATAATCCAATTATCTGACGGGCCCTTATCTGACAATGAAAACAGGTTGTATTACTTAAAATAGCATATCATCTATTACCATAAATTTCAAGAAGTGCAAGTTTCATTGGGAACGATAATTACACAAGGGACACAAGTTTCTCAAAATCTTAGACATTACAAGGAAGTTTTGCAGGTAAAGATAAAAAATGACTTTGATTAGCAAAATAAACCTAATAAATTCATGATTTGTTAATGGACGATTTGGGACCGAAGTATCCCAGTACAAGACGGATGGTCCAGGCAGGTAAGTCATAAGGAATATCTCCAGTTTTGAGTTATTTCTCTTGATTCTACTTGAATGGAAAGATGAGTATGTATCTTTAGAATCCTAAAAGATTGCACTGAGAAAGACAAGATAGAGTACATGTGGAGACATCTCCTAGAAGTCAACTAGAACAAGATCACAAGCACAATCTCAAGAACATGCACGAGGGACACGTGTTTTATCTTGAGGTTCGTGCACCCCAATTAAGGAGTACCTATGGTCTCTTCCAAAGCTATCCTCGGTAAACTTGGCCCTTTTGCTATATCCGTAGTTGTTTTGGTGGTATGAATGACATACATGATCAATAGTACTAACACGTAAGAGTTTTCCTTGAGTAAGTACAGAACAATCTTCTTATTTAGTTGCTTTAGTTTATGTAGTGTAGATAAAGTTAGGGTCAGGGAAGCCATTGGTTAAGTTTTTAGCGACCCAATTCTCCTTTCAATGAAGGTATCAGAGTTGAGGGTCACACCTTCCACTGGGCTAGCTAATTAATTGACTTATTAAATTTATGAAACCTAGCTCACTGGAACAAATAGGCTTAGGGCCTGTTCGGCAGGACTGAAAAATATTGTTCCGGCTTATTGTTGTGAGAGAAAAATACTGTTCTGGCAGGACGTGAACAGTGATTCTGTGAGAGGAAAAACAAGCCAGCCGGCTGGCTTTAAGCCAGCCGAACACGCCCTTAGTGCCTGGAAGTTAAATATATCGAGAGAATGGGTGGATACTGGTAGGACTCCATATTTTGATGGCACGGGTTTTTCACGATGGGAAGTTCTTATGGAAGCACACGTTCAGGCATAGGGGTTTGATGTTTGATGTGTCACTGTGGATAGAAAAAAGACTGAGAATTAGGCAAAGAGAATTGGATGTGATTGCAAAATGAACCATATTGTCTTCTCTTTGTGATAGTGTCTTTAATCGTGACACCAATGCTCAAGAGCTATGATATACATTCAAAGGAGACCATGAAAGCATAAAGGATGTGCAAGAGAAACAAAAAAACATGTTCTCATTAAGAAGCTAAATAGCTTGAAACAACAAAAGCACATAAATCACATGATATGTTGTTATGGCTAAATGTTTCTTGTAGACAAACTAATGGTTTAGGTGTAGAAAATCTTATATGGCAAATATGCATGGAAGACCACTCAATCTCTTCGCAAGCCTAGGCACAATTTGGTCATCTTCATCCTCCACGATAGTGGTGTTGATGAGATGACTCACAATCAAGCTATCAACATGATTGTGTTTCATGAGTTTCGCATGGGCATTAAACAAAAATTATTCTTGTGTGGGTCATGAGGCCCAACCAATAACAACATGAGGTGGCAAGAATCAAGCTAAAATGAAAAAGAAGATAGCAATGAAGAAGAAGGATCTGAAAGCTCCTTAAGTGAGGAAGTGTATCCAAAAGTTGTACAAGCACATGCCAAGAAGGTGGCCAAGCAAGTGATGATTCTCTCAATGCTTGGGGTACTTGACCTTTCTTGAGAATGACTAAATAAGGATCTACAAGATGAGGGACAATAACAAGGAGGAGAATAATAATAAGAAGAAGCACAAGGTTTGCTCGACCATGTTAAGAATGAGTGATTGGTTAAGATACAAGTTAAAACTCAATTGATGAGTCAAACAAGGGCGTCCCTACCCGGTTCTCCAATCCAAGCCTATTCAACATGTTATAACTAGTAAGCTCCGATGCTGGCCAACTATATACCACTGAAGAAATCTGGTGAGTACAGGCGATCAGACCATTTCCTCTTTGTAGGCATAGCCTAAGCTCCGGTGCCTATCACTGGAGGGTTCTGGTGGTGCACTCTGGTGCCTACTAGCTCCATTTATTCGCAACTTCTTGTATGGGCTTCTTGCACTAGATGTGTTGAACTTCTTTCATGTATTTTATGATGTATATAGCAGCTCTTTGTCCTTGCTTGAGGTGTTGATCACTTAGTCTTCACATTGCCTTTTGTCCAAGCCATCCTTGCATCCACTGAATTGAAGACTTGTATACTAACAAACCACATTAGTCCAAATGGCCATGTTGTCATTCAATTACCAAAATCATAGGTGCCATTTTTCTTATAGTGGAGAAAGGTCAAATGCAGCAAGGCTGACTAGCAGGATGGCGATGCAAATCTAACACCAGTTCTTCACCTAGGAAGCTCATGAACACCTCCCGGGAAGAACCGTCACTACGTCAAAATAGTACTTCACTGCCGGTTCAAAATACCCCATCACTGCCGGATTTTGAACCGGCACAACCATATCGGTAGTGATGAGGGTAAGCTATCAGTGTCGGTTCCTACAAACCGGCAGTGTTCTATAACTTTACTGCCGGTTCTTTACACAACCGGCAGAGTTCAGTTCCACCAACACTGCCGGTTCATAAGACCACCCGGTAGAGTTCAATTCCACCAACACTGTCGGTTTGTGTTTCAACCGACAGAGTTGTGGTGAGAATCACTTCCGGTTTGTGACAAGAACCGGCAGTGATGGCTAAGCCAACGCTGCCGGCCTGTGGCTCCAGCTGGCAGTGCCATCACTGCCGGTTTGTTGCTAACCGGCAGTGATGTTTACGACAACACTGCCGGTTTTCTACTAACCGGCACTGATGTCACGTTCGCATTTTATTGTTTTATAATTTATTTTAATTTATATTTTTTCGTAGAATCGGGTTTCGCTTTATATACGCTACGTAGACGACAAGTCCATCAATATTAAACATTACAAATGTTACGGTTATAGTTCAAATATTCTTATCAAGATCTCTCGATCTCTCAAAATAAAAAAAAAAGAAATGTTCTCGGACTTCATAGATTGTGCAATGCTTTTCGGACTTCTTACAATAATCTGGCGAGCCGCTCTGGGCCATACTGGTCCTTGAACTTCACGGATTGTGCAATGAAAAATACTCCATCTTTTTCTAACACCTCGGCTAAGATGAATTTTGCCAGCTCCGATTGTAGCATGACGATCTCCATGTCTAACAGTCTTTCGTGGTTATATTTCTTGCGCTGTTGTTCAAAAAAGATAATATTCAAAGAGAAATCAGTAAATCATTTTGTTGAATGATTAACAGATATAAATGAAATGGGGATTATACACACCAACTTATCGGCTTCTTTCGATTTCCCGCCGATGTAGCGAAGCATTACCACATTACATAAAA